GTGCGGGGCCGCAGTGCTGTGTGCGGGGCCGCAGTGCTGTGTGCGGGGCCGCAGTGCTGTCTCCCGGGCGGAACTCGGAGGCCGCGAGGCGTGACCGCGCTGCAGCCCGGCTCCTCCGCTGCAGAAATCTCGGTGGGGTTCATGTGAAGCTATAGGGACTGGATTAGATGATGATTCGGTTCCTTTTCCGACCTTGAGTTTCTATGAGCAGGTAGAGGATTAAGTTAAATAAGCATAAATTAAAAAAATAAATAAGCATACACAAACTTGTGGCCACGGTTTCAAAAATGATTTCTGTACAAGATGGTCATATGTTTAATCTTCGTGACAACGAGTTGAGGTTGTTAGTCCCAATTTACAAATTGGAAAAGCGAGTTTGTGGGGGGCTAGAGACTAGGTCTCACTCATGTTTGTGCCTCAGCACCGGGTGTAAGCGATTGTTAAGCGGCTGAGTGATTCCCATTGTGTCACCACGTGCTCAAGGTCACTCAGAGCTGCCGTTACCCACGGCCACGGTGCTTTGATTACCACATACCTGCCAACCAGCAGCTGGATAGTAACAATCACAGACCTCACCCCGGAATCCCTTCGACTATTTCCCAGGAGATAAAGCCTTATTGGAAAGACACTAATTTGTGAGGCTCAAATTCTATGACCTCGTAACTGTGTGCTCAGCCTTTAAAAAAGGAATGCTTACAAATGCTGGCATGGCCTGAATAAAGAACGAAGAGATTTAGTGCATTTTATCCTAATGTAGTTAGTAGCTGGCACAGAATTGGTAATCCACACGTTTGTTAAATTTACAAAGAGCAGTATGTATCATTCCATCTCTCCACTAGCTTGCCCAGTGGGATACAGTGGAAGCCACAAGGGGGTGTTATGGGACCATTTAAAATTACTGTTTTGCTCATCTTAGGCGGTGCCAAACAAAACCTTCACATTCTAGCTTGAAGTTTTATTCCAAAACCTCATAGTGAGAGCAAACACGCCTCCACCCCTGTATTACTTATGTAAATAAACCCACACTATTTGCACTTACCCAGCAAAGTAAATAAGAGCAACCCAATGTTTGCATGTCATTTAACATAATCACGAATCAGAGGCAACCTGAGATTCTTTGATTGGCTGGAGTACGTTTTCCAGTTTCATTTTTGCATCTTTCTTTTCCTCTCCTTCCTATTGATGGTTGTGGCTGTGAGAATAAAACTCAGATCTCAAGAGTACCAGTTTGTCACTCTTTTCTATATATTATAGAATATATTTTGTTATATTCTATTCTAACTTTGACTGAGGGGATATTGAATCATCATTCTTCCAACTTTTGGCCACACTTTGTAGCATAGCTTAGTTTTTTCCTGATTAGAAAAGAGATACATGTTTATTATATAATGGAGACAGTGGAAGTATATGAAGAACAACAACAAAAAAGAGGTATATGAAGAACAAAAGAAAAATGTATCAATCCCACAACCCAGAGCTAACTACTGGTAACATTTTGCTCAATATCTTTCCCTTATTTTTAGATCTATATCCATATAGAATTTTTTTTTTCAAAGTTAGGATATTATTGTTTTATGTTATTTTGTAACAGCCCATCCCCATTTCATGTAGCATGAACATTTCTTTTTTCTTTTTTAAAAAACTTTTAATGAACAAACTGAACTAACAAGCAAAATAGAGACAGACTCAGAGAGAGCAGGCTGACACCTTTGTTGGGGGAGTGGATGCTGGAGGGGGAGTGGAGGGATTGAGCAAAAACAGGAAAAAAAAAAGAGAACTCATGGACAACAGTGTGGTGATTGCTGGGGGGAGGTGGGTGGGGCATGAACATTTCTTATGCTCTTAATGCTAATGGCACCTTGGAATTCCAAGTGGCTCCAGTGAACAATTAAGTTGTTTCCACCTTTAAAAATTCTCTGCCAATTTGGTAAGTAAAATATACTATTCCATTTTAATTTGTGTTTCTGTGTGTGTGTGTGTGTGTGTGTGTGAGAGAGAGAGAGAGAGAGAGAGAGAGAACTCGAATATTTTCTCTTATGTTTATTGGCCGTTGTATTTTTTTCTGAATTTTCAGCTTGTGTCCTTTGCCCATTTTCCTACAAGTTGTTTATTTTTTAAAACAATCTTTTTAGCTTTTTATCAGAGATAGATTTGCATATATTACTTTCTAGTTTATTTTATTGATTTTGAGAGAGAGAGAGAGAAAGAGAGATTTGCTGTTCCACTTATTTATGCACTCATTGGTTGGTTCTCGCATGTGCTCTGACCTGGGATCAAACCTGAAACCTTTGCCTATGGGGACAATGCTCTAACCAACTGAGAAACCCTGCCAGGGTCAAGTTTGTTTTCTTTTTAATTTTGTTAATGTTACAATCATTTTAAATTGTTGCAAAAGCTAGGCTATTAATCTTTTCCTTTTCAGGTTCTATTATTGGCCTTATGCTGAAATAATCTTCTTCTACCCATATTTTAACTTTTTAGTTTATCTGTAATTTATTTTAGGGTATAAAATGAGCAGAACACTCTCTTTCTGTCATAATCCTTTTTCTTATCTTCCTTCAATTGTATAATAGCCTGAAATTAAATTTATAATAATAAAATAGCTTCATCTGATGCTCAACTAACTTTCTAGCATTGGTTTTCAAACTCTAGCTGCATTAGAATCACTGGGAGGTCTTGTTAAAATATAGATTTTTCTGCTCTATCTCCAGAGTTTCTAATTGGATAAGTTTGGGCAGGAGCCTGAGAGGCTGCGTTTCTAACAAGTTTTCAGGAGATGCTGATGCTGCTGGCCCAGGAACACACTGAGAGCCACTGACCTAAGGCTTTCCACACCCAACCCCACACGAGTCAAAAAGTCCTCCTTACTGTTCCACAGGTAGGCTGTAGCCCTTTCTCATCTGTGTGTTTCAGCAGGTTTCTTCTGCCTGCAATCCCTTTCCTTCGTCTCTGCCATATCAAGCTCATATTTTATCGCTTCTATGAAATCTGTAATTTTCCCAGCAGAGATCTCTGATCACTCTTAAGAGATTTCACAGTATTTGGTACATTAGTCCCCTTATCACCAGAGATGTGTTTACTGTGAAAATACTGAGGCTTGCCTGGCGGCGAGGCTCAGAGGTTGAGCGTCGACCCAGGATCCAGGAGATCGCAGTTTGATTCCCGGTCGGGGCACATGCCCGGGTTGCGGGCTCGATCCCCAGCAGGAGGCAGCCGATCAATGACTCTCTCATCATTGATGTTTCTCTCTCTCTCCCCCTCTCCCTCCCTCTCTTTGAAATCAATAAAGACATATTGACTTCAGGCTCCCACAACTGCACGAACCTCTTCCAAGGTGAGAGACTTAATTTTGTACTTGCAATCCTATATTATTTTTCTTAGGTTGGCCCCCTCAATTTGTACGAGCTCCTGTTGTCTCTGCACTGACGGTGGATTCTAGTTTTATTATATTTCATTCTGCTCCATCTCCCTGCTTAGCACAATGACTTACAGAGAACCTCTCTCACTAAATTTTTT